CATGCTGGCTGGGGAATTCTGGGAGTTCAAGTCCACACCTCTTAAAGTGGCTGAGATGGAGAGACATCATTCTAACCCTTCCAGATAGGTGGGTTCACACAACCCCCTGGGCTAGAATGAGATTGGATTGCTGGTGTTTGGCACGTTAGATAAACCCAGGTGTTTAAATCCTTACCTAAACCTTTTAGTTAAAGACTTAAGCCTTTCCCTTGTGCCAGCCTGGTTGCGTGTGTTGTGAGTGTGCAAGCAGGGGCCGAGGCCACGCCTAGCCAGCCGGTCTTGCTGTTAGCGGAAGGGCAAGTCCGGGTTCGTTCCCAGGGAGGGGCCATCCTCCTGACCCACAAACCTGTTTGGCAGCATGAGGACAGGGCAATAAAGTGGGGATGGGCTGCAGGCTTGGGGCGGGGCTTACGGCATCGGTGTTCCCCACTCCACGTTCCCAGTCGAATTGTGGGTTTCCCCACTGCTGGGGAATAGCATCGGCCCAGGGGATCCCGGTCAAGATGCTCGGCGCAATTGCAGCATCTTTCCCCGCGCGACAGTTTGAACTGGTCAGTGCCCTTCCTGGGGGGATGGAGAATGCAGCGGCTTTGTGTAACTGGGGCATCTCTTTCCCAGTTTGTCGTGGTGGGCAGCGATATGGGGACCGGGGGCTGTGCTTAATTCTTAAAAATTACTCTGCCCTCCGACTAGGATAGGTGCCGTCACAATGTCACAGCAGAGGACGGGGCCAAAATGTTTTGCCCACTTTTTGGAACTGGGGGGTTCTGAAGGAGCAAAATGCAAAGCTCAGTCCTTGCAGAAGTTGAAGGAACTCTTGGAAACTACCCCAACGTTTGGGGGGTGGGGAGTGAATGGCTTTAAGGGGTGCCACCAGGCTCAGAGAGCTCCAAGGGGGATTCTGGGGCATGCATGAGGCTTTTTGGACAAGGTTTCTGACCCCAGTATCTCTGAATAAATGTTTGCGCATTCCTCAGTTTTTAAGTTCTTTTTAACCACAAAAAAGGTTTCAGAGGCTTCAGAGCCGTTCTAGGAAAGATGGGGAGGGCACAGTGTGCCATCAGCACTGCCCAGTTGGCATCCCTGGCAGTTGTGCCAGAAGTTAAAGGGGGCCAGTGGGTACGCAGTGCTGTCAACATAGTTGTTGTGTCATGTATTAAAGGAAAACCTCCTTCAAGTCAGGTTTGTCTCCCGGAGGCTACGTGGACGTGCCTGTTGTCCAGTTTCCTTGGCAGGGTTAATAAGAATAAGAATGTATTAAATTTATATGCCACCCACCTCCCAGCAACTCCAGGTGGTTCTAGAGAGTTGCTGTAGAGTCTTCTTCCAGAATG